GGCTCGCTACGCACTTCTGTAGGTATGGGACTATGTTAGGATGCCCGTCGATGTCACCGCGAGATGGTGATGCACGTACAAGTTCATACAAACATCTGCGGGCCCCAGCAGAGACAGAGTCCAGGGAGGGGGAGAGAAAGAGAGAAGGGATCGCGTAGCACAGCGAGTTGAGAACGAACGTGGCAAGCACGCCAAGTTCGAAAGAAGACAGAGGGCGCTATGTGGGATAGACTCCGGTGACGGTCTCGCCTCCTTCGCCTGAGACATAGCCGAAAGACCGCGGGATGTAGCGCCAACTCGTAGCATGTTCCGGTGCACCTGCTCCAGAAGGCCGGTAGCTGGGATACCTGAATGGAATCTATAGATGGTGAGCGCGAGCCCTGCACAAGAAGTGACAACGTTCACTTACCATGCGAAGGTTGGCGAAGACCAGCGCTGAGCGCTGGAGCCATGGATGCGTGATGCATAATGCATGAACGTTCAAGTCAAGCGGCGGACGGCCGAACGCGCCGAGACTGATCGCGGCTTCGGCAATCACCGGGAGAGGTCCTTTCAACCAAGTCTCGAGCGCGTGGGCTGCTTGAGTGTAGACCGTCACCAGGGCGGCGTACCCGACTGCTTCGCAAGCCCGTTGGCTTCCACACTCGCAAGCTCTTCTTGCTAGTGGTACGTCGTTTCCATGCACTCTGTCCTGTCCGAAGGGCTCAACTTGCCTCCAAGGGCCGCGAATCGTGATCGCATGGGTATCCCTGGGCTCATACAGCCAGTATACGAACCAGGTTCGTCATTCCTCGCATCTTGGCTGTCAGTCACTGGCTCACGAACAGTCTTAGGTTATGCGGTAGTAGCGAGCTTCCAGCTCTGGCCATGCGCCCCTCGTCCAATAACCCACTCCCTTTCCTTCCGCTTCGTTCGAGCAGCATAGCACTCGGCCCATCATATCGTTTATGATATCACCCTGCATTCTTCCTGCATTGGCACGCTCTCAGATCATGTATGATTATAACTGCAAATAGCATTTCACTTATTTCACCCATAACTTTCGTTTGCGGCAGTACGCGAACGCTCGTCCCCGTCACTAGCAAGAGTAGTCGCTTGTGCACGTAAGGCTCATCCGCACGTACCCTAGGAGATTGCGCTTCTTTTGAACGCTCGTAAGAAGTTCTATCTGCAGTGTTAGTCGTCCCGTTTTCGTTCATCAACTCACCTGCCGCTCTCTCGCGCGTCCTAGTCGCGGAACCGCCATAGACCTGCCCGCCCGCATATCGCACTCGCTTGTCTCGAGGTAAGGCGTAGATACTGACACAATATGCATAGGCATTCGCGTGCTGAATGTTCCGCAGCCATTTACCATCGCGAGTGGAAGTGCATCGACCGCGGAATCTCGACGCCGCTCGCTCACTCGCTCAGCCGCGCCCGCACACTACCCTCACCCAGCTCATTGCCATACTCGCCCACTCCAGCCGCACACGCACGCTTCTAGGACGTCAAACATGGTCTCTGGTACCTCGCAGCATACCAGTCTCTTCGATCCGGACACCAGCGACTCTATCAATCGCGACGGGCATACGTCGGGCGAGATCGGTGAGTTACGACTTGTGCGCGGTCTGTGGCCGCACTTACCGACCTGGGCCGAAGACGGTCAGGTCAGAGTCAACGCTACCGGGCACATGCTTCGATCTATTCGCGAGAGAGGGGCACCTCCTCAGGACGTTCAGGCCAGCCCGCTCGAGAGTCGATCGCCCCCGTCCGCCGACGGCGTAGACGCTCCTTCGCCAACGATCACCGAGCTCGCGCGCACCTTTACATCAGGCCCTTCATCTGAGGCTATACCACGAGCACGCCCACTCACCATACGTGCGGGACTCGGCCGGATTCGCAAGGCGCTATCGCGCGGCGCTGGACGAGTTCGAAGGGTCATCGACCGTGTCCGCTTTCGCCCTCGCACGCAGCAGTAGAAGTCGGCTCGGTACAAAGTATAGGTACTACCGACGCGCCTTCTTCATTGCATTTCCTTGGCCTATTGTGCCATTTCTCGGACTTTCGTCTTGGATGCTCGTCATGTATATACGATCTCTCACTTCTTGCACCCCGGTCTCCAAAAATAACATCATACGACTCTGACACATTGTTTCCGTCTCTTCAAAAGCTAAAGCTACTTAAAAGTATATGTCTTATACTGGTGGTATTCGGCAACTGCACACATCACGAGGACTCGCTGTCAAACGGCGGGCGCCCTTATGCCTGCGCGTCTGACCAAAAGTCGCGTGACCGCGATCTACCGCCTAGTTCCGCTATACCGCATACGCGGCTCCCGTTCCTACCCACCCACGACCTGCCTATCTGAGCAGATCGGTACACTCTAGAAGTGCTGGAGCTCCGCAGCACGCTTTGCGCGGTCTTTCGTAGCGTTTGATGACGCTTATAGCAGACATCTTCGATCTCGAATGCCCATGGGTTAGGGTTACGAAGGGGAAGGGAACAAACACCAGTTTCTCCCAATGATTCACATAGGACCGTGGAAGTCCGCACAGCATAGGTGATTTTAGAGCGTCTACAGTCTGAATGACGAACCTATATATCGGGCCGCTGGCTCGACCTGCATAGGTGCAGCGCATATCGATGGGGACAAGTGCTTGGATGTTCAACAAAGTTGATTTGCATTGTAACACAGCTAGCGTAGACAGAAGAATAAGCAGGGAGACCATTGTCATCAACTACGTACAGATGGGGGTGCATCAAGACGAATGACCAGGGCGTTGTATACACATTGCAGAGGTAAAGGAATGGAAACAGAACGAGCGGCGGGTAGGGAAGGGTGAATGCTGTAATCTCTGAGACGCGACGTGAGTAGCGGTAGTGGTGGGGAACGATGAGAGGTTGCGTGCAAAGCCCATATCGCGAGGTATAACTTCAGTCCATGTACAGGGGCGGCGCGTTTGCACGTCGCATCTCCTCGCGATACATTGCGAGGGACCGAGCGATGGAACCCGCAGGCTCTCCGACCGAAGCGCGACGGTCTCCGATCTCGTACGCCAGCCTGAGTACCCGAAACACGACAGGAGCGGTCGCCGGGTTGCCCTCGTAGGACTCGTCGCCTCTATGCCAAGTGTCGATGTCCTCCTCCTCCGCGTTTCGGCTTGAGAAGCGCGTCAGCATCCGAAGTATCAGCAGCAGGAGCGAGCAACGCACTACCACGTATATTCCGCCACATCACGGTATCTGTCTATGTCGTCGCCGCTCATCTTCTCCTCCACGGCCAGGTAGTACAAGATCAGGGCCAATGCCTCTGCAGCGACACCCCAGCAAGCCTCAATGCCCAGACGAAAGTGTCGATAAGTTGCCCAGCGAGGCGTGCAGCGTGTCCGCACCCGCGAAGACTCGCGCAAGCGCTTGAGATCGCCATAACTGTTGAATATCTTGCGTGCGGTGTGAGCGATATGCGATGCGATCAATAGGTGGTCGTCTGGTCCGTCGTCGAGATCGTCGAGATATCCGTGCGATATCGCTCTGTCAGACGTGGGGAGGAACATATGCGCCATGATGGTACGACATCGAGAGTGTCTGTCTTCTGCGCGGCGAATAACCGCAACGGGCTTCCGCGCCCGACGAGGCGCCGTTGGCTCTGCCAGGCGAGCGCGAGCGAGCCGGCGAACCCTATTCTGGCGGCCGCAGCGAGATAGGCCCGTCGA